CTAAATACCATATAGTGCAGATATAGCCTCAGAGGACCACACACTTATCTTTTTATCATTTATGCTTTAAATTGAGTGGGACAAAATAACTCAAGAGTCCTGATTATTTGAAACAATCAGAAATTATAGGACAAGAAGGCCTATAACGAGCCATTCTATTGAAGTACTTCTTTACCTCCACCAGTTGGACTCGCCCATAATACAGCCGGTCTGGTCGGGGGCTGTTCGGATCCTCATAGACCACTGACATCTGCCGACCCTATTTAAAGAGGAAGTGAGTGGTTCAGAACCTTGGTTGGGATGTTTTGAAGTTTATATAATTGATCTATGAACAAACTTCTATGGATCTTTACAACATGGAAAACCTGACTCCAAAAAATAGTTTAGAAATTAATTTGTTAAAGAATTAGAGCTATGGAAACAGAAGAAAAAGATCTAATACAGTTTATTTTTACAAATAGGATATGAGGGAAATTCCCGTGATTGAAAGTGACTAAAAAGGCAGGGGTCAAAACAGTAAACATACACAAATCCCACCATAGTGAATACATGAGGTTTTGCTTCCATTACTGCCTATTGCTTTCTAGGGTGCGGCTGAATCTGTCAAGACTCACAGCAATTCCTGCCTACAGGGCCAAATTTTAGTAGTAGAAAGTGCTTTGATGGATGGATTAGTGAAGAAGGGTGGACAAGGCTGAAGGATAAAATATAAATGGTAAAAACATGCATAGTAGGGGAACTGCAAAACAGCATGCTGGGGCTGGGGCTTAGCTCCACACCCCTTGCCCCATGGGGATTCAGCCTAGTTTATTTTCATCTCCCCCTCAACACACACACACACACACACACTTAACCTATTCCTGTCTACCCACTTCCACTGTTTCTCATTACTGTCACTCTTGAGAGGCTCCTAGCAGGGCAGAATGGGGAGGTCAGGACCCTTCAGCAGTGCCCCCAACTCATACATAAAGCCCCAGCCATCTTATTACAGCACCAAATCCAAAAGAATGTCATTCATTAGGATCCAAGTTTCCAAAAGAAATGCCTCATCAGGGTCACAAATTATTTAAAACCTGAACCTCAGAAACACGCCCCATAGGCTCTTAAAATCACAAGGGTGGGAAACAAAGCAGCAAAGCAAACATTTCATAAGCTAAAATTCTTTCCTATGTGTGAAGATAAAACTAAGAAGAAATTTTGGTCATTACTTCTAGGTGAGTTCCAACAGTTTGTACAATAAACTCTGGCAATAAAAATAGGCACATCAGTGGTCTGAATTACACGATCCTCTACAAAGACTATGCCACTGAAACAGAGCACTGTTAGGTATGCATTTTGATTGTGCAACTACTAGTCCTCAGATGGTCTGCAAAGGTTTGGGGGAGCTTTTGAAACAATAATTCAATAGATTTATTGTTGTAAAACCAAAACACAACACACCACAGTGCCGGAACACAGATATCAACTAAGGACATGGGCCCTCAGCTGTGTGAAGCTTGCTGGTTTCTGTTTCATGGGGAGAGACACAAGAAAACACCTTCAGAAGCTCTCGTTGTAGTGCACAGTTATAGCACATTAACTGGAACTAGCCTCAAGTTGAGTTTAAGGCACCCCACCTGTGTTTAGAGTCCTGGTGTGGCGCTGTGGGTTAATGTGCTAGACTGCAAAGTGTGTTTCAAACACAAGTTGGCAGTTCAAGCTCACCAGCTGCTCCTTGGAAACCCTATACAGGGTCGCTATGGGTCGGAACAGACTTGGACGGCACTTCACAACAGCAACCTGTGTCTGAGGTGCTGTGCATTACCTTGTGGGGTATAAAGTAGGATGTGATAGCAACCTTCCCCTCAAAGAATTTTCTAGATTGCAGTTCTGGACTGTCTCTTCTCAAAATGCCAGAGTGGCTATAGTAGGTCAAATCCCAGATCATTGCACATAACGCCCTCCATTCTACTCTGGCACCAATGGAGTCACTGCAAGTCGGGCTGAGCCTTCCAAGTTTGTTTTCCATGACTTGGCACCACTGACATCAGCCAAGTTGGACTGGTCATCCCTTGAGCACAGCATCCTGCCCTGCACTGTCCTTCTGCCTCAGTTCACCTTATTCCCTGCCCCTAGAAGGGAATTTCTCTTCTTCAGATACATTCTTAAATGCCCAGCTGAAACACAACTGCTCCCAGATGCCTTCTGAGGGCCTCTCAGACTACACAAGCCCCCCACATGTTCCCCTGCTCCTGTGGAGCCTTTTTAGACTGTTCCTCAAACTTGTCCTATTTGGTGAATGGCAGGGATCTGCACATTCCTCTTGTCTCCTCTGTCAGATTACACGCTTTGTGAGGACAGGGATCACCTTGCTCCCCTTTATCTGTTGCTGTTAAGTGTGATCCAGTAAGGGCTCCCAAGGCACGGCTGGTGAGTTTGAACCACCTTCGTTGTGGTTCGAACCGACTTTGCAGTCCTGAGCTCATCCTTCAGTACCACACCAAGACTCCCTTTATGGAGTCCAGCTCCACATGAAAGAGTCAAACACATCTGTTAAGTTAAATGGAAATAATATTTACCCTGAGGCAGTAACTTATGAGAAACAAGTTAAGTACTTTGGAAGGGAAGGGGAGAGAAACCATTTGATAGAGATTGTTCTGGAAGCAGGACCCTGATAAGATGCTACAGAGTCTAAGCTTCCTTTTAAATTTCTAAAAAAATATTGTAAACAAAATAATCCAAACTTTGTAGAGCACCTTATTAAAGGTCCTAAATTTGTATCAGCACCAACAACAATTGCCCTTCTTCCTGCCACTGGGGCCACATTCTGACACATACCGTGAGTTGCACATCTGGTTTCTTTCTCAGAAGAACCATGTCACTGGGCAATCCAAAGGATTTGATTTGGTAAGTGAGATACCCACCATATGAGGAAATCTAAAATTAAATGAAAATGAAATAAAAAGCATTAGAAAAGACAATGTCCTCATTAACTCACATGAAAAGTACTTAGACACATAAAGTCTGTAAAGATGTATATCTTCTCCATCTGTTAACAATGATTACTTCTAGAAAGCTGGGTTGAGGATGGTACTTTTTCTCTTTCTAATTTATACCACTTTGTATCATTTAAAATGTTTATCATGAGCACGAGTGAATTTGACAAACCAGAAGAGACTTCTTGTAAACGGAAAAATAGTTTCCATACTGAAAGAAATAAGATTCTTTTCCTTAGTGTGACCACTAAACCAGAATTTTATTTCAGCCACTGCTATTCTAAGAAATATAGGCCATTGACTTCTTATTTAATATTGGTTAATATCTATCAGGCAAAAAATGAAATTCTAAAAAAAAAAAAAATTTCCTGAAAGCAGATGGTGAATGACTGCAAAATTATTATGAATTCTGTTATTTTTGTTAAGTGCCATCAAGTCACTTCCAGCCCATAGTGATTCTGTACAGGGTTTCCAAGGAGTGGCTGGTGAGTTTGAACCGCCGACCTCGCGGTCCAGCGCTTATCCAAGGCTCCATGCCAGGACTCCCTGTATAATGGATTCTAGTAGATAAGAAAACCATCTGACTACTCCACTAGGGGTCCAGACTGGCTACCACAGCTGTGGAAGTGCCTATATGATGATGATGGGGATGGAGAAGTCAGAGTTTTCTGGTGGCAGAAAACTCATCTTTGGCCCTGATACGTCTCCATGATACCTCTCACTCTTGAAGCAAAAACTACTCGAAAGGGAAGGTATGACGAAGGGTGGTTAAGAAGGGGTCAGGACTCAGAGGCAACACCACCTTCAAGAAAGCACAACAAAGTATCTTGACTAGAAAATGTAAATGAGAGAAAGTGCAGCACTTCAGGAATTCCAGTTTCCAGAATTTCTTCCCTCAAAGCAATAACCTGACAAAGCTTCACAGAGTTATGATCTTAGAGTCTGGAAGTGTTGCAGATAACAGCTTGAATCAGCTTTTTGATATTAAGGATTGCCATTTTGATGGACTGCTGTGGTTTTAAAAAATAAGTCTACAAATCCTTTGATAGCCTGCTTCAAGAAGTAATGATTGATTCCCCTCCCCTTGAATGTGCACTGTACTTTGTGACTCACTTCTAAAGAATAGAGTAAGGTGGAAGAGAGAGTATGTCCTTTCCAAAATTAGTTTATAAAAAGATTTAATCTTCTGTTTTGGGTTTTCTCTCTCTCTCCATCTCTTCTTCCCTCCTTTCCTCTCTTTCTTCTCCCCTTCTCTCTCACAACTCACTTTAGGGAAAGCCATGTTACGAAGACACTCAGGCAACTTATGGAGGGTTCCATATTATGAGGAACTGAGGCCTCCTTCCAACATCCGGCAAGGAATAGAGACCTTTTAACAAACACATGAGTACACTTGGAAGCTGAACTTGTAACTACAGCCTCGGCTCACATCTTGACCACAACTTCATGAGAGATCACCTATCAGAACTACCCAGCTAAGCCACTCCTGAATTCCCAATCCACCGAAACTAAACATGATAAAAATTTTTACTGTTTTAAGTTACAAAGTTTCGAGAGTAATCATACAGAGATGAAGAAGATATTAAGTGAGAGAGAAGTGGACTTATCTGAGACAGGCATCATACCCACAATCCTTCAATCAGAAAACAGAATTTGATATTGTCGTAGTTAAGGTTTCGTATCAACTAGGCTGGGCCAGGATTCTCAGTGGTGTGGCAGTTGAGGTGTAATATAACATAATCACTTCTCAGGTGAGATCTGTTAAGAACAGCCAATCAATTCAAACATTTCCTCAGGGGTGTAGACTGCTTCCAATGTATTAAACACTGGGCAGAGCTTGTTGCTATCCACTGGGTCTGGATCCTGTATCTGGTTCATCATCCCACTTCCAGTTCTTTGGATTAGAGCCAGTGGTGTGCTTTCTTGCCTGTAGATCCTGGGGGTCATCAGCCGACTGCCATCATACCTGCCCAACCTGCCTACCTGCTATCTGACCTGCCAATCTTGGCTCATCAGCCCTGCAGCTATGTAAGTCAGAAGCCTCCAGCCTGACATCTGACTCATGGACTTGGGGCTTTCTCACCTCTACAACTGTGCCAGCCATTCCTTGATATAAACTTCTCTTTATGTGTACATATGTAAGCATCACTGGTTGTGCTTCTCTAGAGAACTTAGCCTAAGACAGACACCTCAGATTGACAAGGCCCTAATATATAATCATTCTAAATGTGAGACTACAGAATCACTTGAGCAGGTCCTTGTGAAATCTATTCCCATTAGAAATTCTGATCTTAAAGGGCATGGTTTCACAATATTGCAAATTTAATTAATGCTGTTGAAATGTACACTAAAAGACAGCTAAATTGGGTAGACTTCCAACAAGATGGTGGACTAGGAAGACTCACTACACATACCCTCTACAACAAAGACACTAGAGACCACATGAAACACATAAGAATAATCCTGGAACCTACGCTCCAGAACAAAGGATAGAAAAATGGATTGAATATTGACCAGGAGAAGAACCAAAGAACTGAGAGAAGAGATATAAAGGTGAGCTTTCAGCTGGCCTGATGTGGCACGGCCATTTTGAACTTTTGCAAGTAGCGTTCTATAGAGACAATGGCCTGACAACACAAAAATTCTGGAGGCTGGCCACAAGAAAGGAAGGATTTTTCCTTGTTCCCCACACTCTCCTAGTGACTAGAAGTGTGGCTAGCCCCCACCCTCACTCACCCAGCAGCTAGTGACATCCCTGCCATGCACAACTCTGGCTGCGTCTGAGGTTGGAGCTGCACCTGGTGCAACTCCCCCAAGTCTGAAGGCATCTGAATGCGGCTGTACCAGATGACCAGAATGTGCAGCACTACATACATATATATGTTGTTGTTGTTAAGCGCCGTGGAGTTGATTCTGACCCATAGCGACCCTGGATAGGATTTCCGAGGAGCAGCTGGTGAGCTTGAACCACTGACCTTGCAGTTCAAACGGCTTTGCAGTCTGACGCATTAGCCCACAGCACCACACCAGGACTCTCTCTCTGTATACATGTATGCATACACACACACACATATGTTGTTATTGTTAAGTGTCGTTGAGTCAGTTCCAACTCATAAGGACCCTGTATTGCTAACTGTAAGACTGGCAGTTCAAACCTACCAGCAACTCCTTGGAAACCCTATACAGGGTCGCTATGAATCAGAACCAACACATAACAATGGCGTGTAACAACAACAATAGGATTTCTGAGGAACAGCTGGTGAGTTTGAATCATCGACTTTATGGTTAGCAGTCTAGTGCTTATCTTATAACACCAAACCAGAACTTCATATACATATGTTGTTATTGTTAAAGTGCGAACTCATACCAATCTTGTATAGGATTTCCAAAGAAAGGCTGATGGGTTTGAACCACCAACCTTGTAGTTAGCAGTCCAGTGCTTATCCTACAATGCCACACCATATCTATATATGGTGGTGGTAGTTGTATGCTGTCAAATCTGTTCTGACTCATGGCAATCCTGTATAAGGTTTCCAAGGCTATAAATCTTTATGGGAGCAGAAAGCCTCAGCTTTTTGCTGTGGAGTGGCTGGCAGATTCAAACTGTTGACTTTTAGGTTAGCAGCTCAATGTGTAACCCACTACACTACCAAAGAGATATTTATGTCTATATAAATATATATGGTTAAGTGCCATCGAGTTGGTTCTGAACCTTGTACATGGTTCCAAGGAGCAGCTGGTGGGTTTGAACCACCGACCTTGTGGTTAGCAGTCAATAGTTAGCCTTCTGCACCACACAAGTGCACCATACAGATAGATGTACTATTGTTAAGTAAGTTGAGTGGGTTCTGACTCATGGTGACCTTGCATAGAGTTTCCAAGGAGCAGCTGGTGGGTTTGAAGAGCTGACCTTGTGGTTCAAAGTCTAGTGCTGATCCTATTGTGCCACACCAGGCGTCCTATATATACAGTGATGGCAGTGGTCATGTGCTGTGGAGTCGATTTTGACTCATAGCGACCCTGTATGGAGTTTCCAAGGCTGTAAATCTTTACAGGAGCAAAAAGCCTCATCTTCCTCTTGTAGTTTCGAACTGCTGACCTTAAGGTTAGCAGCCAGACTTGTAACCACTACGCTACCAGAGCTCCTTATATACACATGCACATATATATTTAATGTATCCTTGCTAAAAAGAATGCCACCTGATGATGCTCCTATAGAAGTCAACATGTCTGTCCTCATGAAATGACTGTGGATGATCAAGCGCTGGGATAATTGGTTATAATTTAATTAAAGGAAGAACAGCCAGTCAGTCATGAGTTGTCTCACTGAGTGCACTGAGGGTTCTGCTTACAAAAGTTGAACTGGGTCCTGTACCTCTTCAATAAACATATGAGTCACTTTTCAGCATTTGTTTTTATGACAAGGCATCTTTCTTCTGCTTTAAAAGAAAGAATTCTCAGAATTGGCATTTAAAAGTGGACCTATTCTACGTGCAAAAGATACTATTTAAATGGTTGCTTCCCAGGAGGAAAACTCTTAGTCATCAAGCAAAAATCGAGAAACAGTGTTGTAAATAGGAATTTGTTTGCTGGTGGGGTAGTGCAGGTAGGTTTGGGAGGTTCTAACTCAGCAACTCATGGCTGAAGGTAGAGTCGATCTCTTCTTCACTTTTAACCAGTAACCTGTTACCATGGCACTGACTCTGACCCATGGCGACCACAGGTGTGTCAGAGTAAACAGTGCTCCACAGGGTTTTCAGTGGTTGATTGGTTATAAGGAGATCACCAGGCCTTTCTTTTGAGGCACATCTGGATGGACACAAACTTCCAACCTTCTGGTTAGCAGCAGAGCACATTAATTTTTTGTACCTTTCAGTGACTCCATTTTATTCATCTGACTTTCTCAATGCTTCCTTCTAAACCCACTATAGATAATGACAATGCAGTGGAGGAGAAGACTCAGAAGGACAGGGTGACATTACCTTATCCCCCAGGTATGAAGGAGGTGCAACCCAGGACACACTGAGAACTGTTGCAGGCAGCTCTTGGATGTCGGCGACCACACTGTTGCTGCCAGGGTTGAATGAAGTGGGGATGTTCACGTGATCTGCCGTCTCCAGAAGCCAGCCCATCATATCAACAAACTGTAACACAAGAGCCAGGGATGCAAATGTGTAACTGGGGCATCAGGTATCATAGAATGAGGCATGCGACAGCTATTTTGCTTGCAAAGGCTTCCTGTGTGTGTCTCTTTTGGGGCGTCCCCTCAGACCTCCATGATAGTGCCCCCTCCCCACTACAGTTCAACCACAAGTTCTGGGATTGCAGAACACATGCATATGTAGTTTATCTTGGTGTCCCAGCACACACTTGGTTCTTGGTATTAAACAGATGCTCAATAAATGTTTGAATAATAAATGAATTACTGTCTGAATAGTAACTAGGGCTCTAGGGTTGTGGCAACATCATAATGGTGGGCTCCTTATAGAGGAAATGTGATGAGGAATGTCGTGGCCAGCTGCCACTATTTTTCCTCTAAATGAAGTAACACAAAGGAAACCAGAAGTTAAATATGAAAGAAGAAAAAAGTCAAAACTGACAAGACTTAGGTTAGGAATAAAGAGTCCTGGTAGCATGGTGGGTTATGAGTTGGGCTTCCAACCACAAGGGTCAGCAGTTCGAATCTACTAGTCACTCCATAAGAGAAAGATGAGGCTTTCTGCTCCCTTAAAAATTTATAGCCATGGAAACCCTACACAGGGTCATTAAGAGTTGGAACCATCTTGACGGCACACAACCACCACCACCACCACTAAGTTAGGAATAACGCTTTCTGATTCCACTTGGAAAGAGAGTACTAGAAAGGAGACTTCAGAATACATTTACAAATGAATTGGTTTTCCAAAGACCAATCTGTGCTCCTTTGAAGAAGCAGACAGTAAATACGTAAAGTACTCTCCTTGAATAGAAGACATTTCTTATACAAAGAGAGCCTGTATGAGCCTCTTGGATTACTAAAACTGCTGGTTCATGGAATAATGATGACAGCAAATATTTCAGTTTCAAGAAGTTAATTAAAAAGTGTGGTGGTGCCCAGGAGACATCACGGCAAGTGGTTGGGTCCCCTCAAGGCAAACCTCCTTCCCAGACTCAATGGGAATACACGAGCAGACATGCACTCTGACTGGGGACCAGGCTGGTCACCTATAACAGGAAGTGAGGGAAAAACAGCAATAAGCCAGCAAGCTAAGCCCTACCAAGTTCAATAGACTCCTGTAAATCTGGGTGGAGACCTGGTTGGCCAGCAGTGTGGCAAGACCTGGGGACTCCTGGGCCCAGAGTCAGTGACATAGCCAAAGAGGACTAGAGTGGAAAGTGAAGGGTTCAGTGGATAAGAAGTGAGGGCATATGCACAAGAACACCCACTTGCAGATAATACCCACTTGACCTGGCTACAATGACTGGATGATCAGAACTCAACTAGAAGAAGAAAAAAAGAGTAATCTGATACAACTTGATGAACTTTACTTACACCTCTGGATGCTGTAGCTCAAATGAGGGAACAAATCTTTACAGCGAGATCATTCCCACCCACTCGATACACAAGGTAAACAGGGATGGGCAACTTGGACATTGGCTACCCAAAACGGGGGGCTACAAAGGCAAGAAGTGACTGGCTTACAAGCTTTCAGGAGGAAGCCTAGATTAAGAGGGTGCAGAGGAAGGTAGAATCTTCACTGAGTAGTATCCAATCTGTCTAGGCGGGGCTGATGAAAGGAGATGGGGATGGCACACATGTGACACAATAGTGAATAATTGCTATCAGGACCAACGGTGAGGGTTGGAAATGTAAAGGTAGACATTTTGTAGCAAAAGGAAGGGAGTGGTTGACTTTGCAGTCCAGAAGCGGAGGTCCCTGAGACCATCAAGGGAGAAGAACGGAGGTGGGACTGTACCCAGAGAAGCAGTGACACCAGAGATGGAGGCAGATGGAGAGATGGAGCAGCTAGGGACTCTAGACACAGAGAGGGAGAGGGGCTGTGTGCTGACGACCAGAGGGAAGGCTCACAGGGTACAGCCTCTGGTTGGTTGATGATGCATGGAGGGGATTGTAACCATGGCAATGAAATGAGATACAATAGGACAAATATAAAGCTACTGTTCTCCCATGTAAACTATCACATAATTCACAATAAAACATTTTTAAAAAAAGTGGTGGCGGTGGTATGTTGTGTGTAGTTGGTTCCGACTCAAGCCCTGTATAGGGTTTCCGAGACTGTAAATCTTTATGGGAGCAGAAAGCCTCGACTTTATCCAACGGAACAAGGAAAATATATGTGGCATAATAAGTGAAAAGAAAACTAAAACGGGAAGAAGATATAAGGAAAAGAGAAATGAGAGGGAAAAGCAACAAAAACTCAGTTGATTTGTTGTTGTTCGGTGCTGACAAGTTCCGCTGTGACTCACAGTGGCCTTCACAGAATGAAACATGGGACAGTCCTGCATCCCGTCGCCACCGCTGCTGTGTTTGAGTCTACTGTTGTAGCCACTGTGTATGCTACGAGTCGAAACTGACTCAATGGCAGCAGGTTTCCATTCATTTCCCAGATATTAACTGAGCACCTACTGTATCCCAGATCCTGTTCTAAGACTGGAAATGTATCAAGGAGCTTACCCACTAGTGATGGGGGAAGAGACAGGTAATAAACCAATTTCAAAACTAAAAGTACAGTACATCAAGGAGTGAGAAATATTGGGGAGAAAACAAAGCAGTGAGGGCCTAGAAAGTAACCAGTTGCCTACTTTATGGGGTGTGGGAAGGGAAGGTCCCTCTGAACATAAGACATTTGGAAAGAAGCCTGGGGACATCTGTGGAAGGGAACAGAGAAGAAAATGTTTGCCATTGTAAAATATTAATATATAGAAAGTTCCACAACACTTAATATGTCATGTTGATTCTTTCCGTCAATCTGAAGTACTAAAAAAAAGGAAGCAAAAACACTTCCATTCCCGGGATACCTTAGTTCTTCGCTTATGTGTACTGGTACAATGATTAGTCACTCCAAAGCAAAAGCAGCTGGTACAGCCCTTGGGATTGGCTGGGTCCAAATAAAATGATCCTTCTCGACATACACTGCAGTGTGTACCTTCCACATTTTCCTATTGATGTAGAAAATGAAATGAGATCATTCCTTCTGCAAGTGCACTGTTTGCAATCAGATACTTATACAAATTTAACACCAACGCAAGGTATTAGAACACAGTTGTTAGCAAAATACTAAAAGGTATGTAATTGCTAAGTATTTGTACCACATGATTATTAAGCATTTATACCACACACAGATGGAAGAACGAATTCCCTAAATATTTTGGGACATCCTTTGGTATTTTAAAGGTATGTTACAGCTCCAGAGAGACTCACAATATTGGGAACCCAATTTATCCCACTTACCACCACCTTAAAACAACCTCCAGAAGTGGAAGCTTTTCTATCATCTGGTAAAACCCTATGAGTAAAGATTACTCATCCAGGAACAATGGTCCAGACAGAAATAGGCTACAGGGAACCTATGTTATTGTTGGTATTAACTGCTGTTGAGTAGGTTCCGACTCACAGCGACCCTGCATAGGGTTTCTGAGGATGAAAGTCTTTGTGGGAGCAGAAAGCCTCATTGTTCTCCTGCAGAGCAGCTGGTGGGTAAATAGTTCAGTGCTCATCCTACAGAACCACAGCACTTCCCAGGGAAACTACAGGTGTCTATAAATTCTAGACGAAAGTCTACACTTGCCATCAAATTCTTAAAGGGGTCTATGACCTTTAAATGATAACAGGGTTCTTCCATTCTAACCATTTCTGTCAAATGAGACGCTGTTGTTGTTAAGTGCCATTGAGTTGATCCCTCTTCATAGTGATCCAATTCATTCCAAGGAATAGCTGGTGGGTTAGAACCGGCAGCCTTGTGGTTAGCAGCTCAGTGTTTATCCTACAGTGTCACACCAGGAGCCCATGACTATCAATGACTACTAGTCATGGACTACTATAGTCCATGACTACTATACACCTGATGAAAATCTCGTGTGGAAGTCAGTCCCATTATCCATATATTTGTAGACGTTCACTCAACATGAAAGATTTCTCACTAATGGAAGTTGATGCACCTGGCTATAGCATTCCTGGCCTTGACATGGTTCATCTTACCTTGCAGAAGCAAACTCCAGTTCCTGGGTCACAGACTTCTGGCTCCGTTCCTTCTCTGTTGCAGTTGCAGGGGACACAGTCAGGGAAGTGGTAAAAACCAGAAAAGCACCGGTCACACTGCCGCCCTGTTATCCTAGGCTTGCATCTTCACTCAGACAAAAGGAAGAAAAAGTTCTCGTCATCTTTCTAAGCATAACTCTAAAGTGTCCTGCTACAAATCAGGAAAGAATGCTTTTTACAATAATCACTCAAAGGTTGAAAACCTTAGGGGGAAATCTAAAAAGAGAAATGAAACACCTACTCCCAAAAAACTACAAGAAACCAAAAGAGACTTACATAAATGGAAAACTATACCATGCTAATTGATAGGAAGAATTAACATTGTGGAAATGTCAATACTGCCCAAAGTGACCTATACATATAATGCAATCCTGATCTAGAGTCCAAAGTCATTCTCTAAAGAGATGGAAAACTAATTACCAACTGTACATGAAAAGGAAAGAGAACCTGAATAGGCAAAGCACTATTAAATAGGAACAAAGTAGGAGGCTCAAACTTCCCAATCTCAGAATGTACCACACAGTTATGATAGTCAAAACAGCCTGGTACAACAGACACATAGACAAATGGAACAGAACCCTGAACCCGGAAGTAAATCTCCCCACCTATGGACAGCTGATCTTTGACAAAGGGCATAAACACATTAAATGTGGAAGAGATATTCTC